TGGTCCTTTCATCTTCCTCGTGAGTCTGCCAGAGAAACAAGACTGAACAAAGCCAGCCCATAGAGGCAGAAAGCATGATGCARTGTACCAAGTAATTCTTTTACCCTCCCCGCCCCCACAATCTACTTGTCTAAATAGATGGTCATCTTGGACTCTCACCTCAAGTGAGGTGTATGTTCAAATGTTAACAACTTCTATGTCCTAGAAGCAAGAAACTGCAGACTTGGAAGGGACCTGAAGCAATCATCTGGTCTAACTCCTAAAGAGATAGATAGATAGATAGATAGATAGATAGATAGATGATAGATAGATAGATAATTGAAGACTAAATTTGATAACGGTTACATAAGTCCACACAGGTAAATTAGTGGTAGAACCAAATCCTGGTATTAGTAACACCTTGCGAAGAGAGCTTTAGAAAACTCCGCTATCAAGAGTCGTGATCTCACTCTGCAGCTGTGATCTCTTTTATGTTACTTTTGCAGAATTTAAATTACGGAACTGATACAGTTACTTCTTCTCCAAGCTGTTAGTTTCCTGATGATTCTGTAACCATAACTTCTTACTTAAAAGGTGAAGTTTAGAACAGCAGGGAATGGATTTCAGATTTGCTGTTTTAAGGACTTAAGCAGCAACTTTCGAAAGATTACAGCTGAGAAGCCAGCCTTTGTTCCCAGTCCTTAATTGCTTTTCTCTAGCGATGGAWTTGAAACAGCAATACAGACCCAGTCCTGACAGTAAATGCCTGGGAATTTAAGAAGATATTGCAAATATGCCACATCATAGGGTGTTTGAATTTCACTTTCTAAGTTGTAGATGTAGATCAAATTCATGTATCCTGCTCTAAGTGTGGTCAAACATGCAAATATTTGCTTTCTGAGTAATTTGCCCTAGTGACTTTGAAGCATTTTTGAGGAACAGTGGTGACATTGTTCTGCCCTGGCAGAAAACATATCCCTTGTCAGATGTCCACAGAGATCCCAACCATCTACAGGCTTATTATTAAGACACGAGTGCTGCACAGCATTTGGTAACCTTGGCTTCAACTTGACAGTATGTTATGTATATAAGTTATCACTTTGCCCAAGCTTTTATGAAGAACCTGTCTGGATCTTAACTGTTAGTTAACCAATGGGAGGGAGAACAAGAATTGTTTTAACTTTTTTTTTTTTTTTTTGATACTGGGAATTAAACTCAGGGTTTCCACATGCTGGGCAAGTGCTCTACCATTGAGCTACACCCCCAGACCTAGGATTGTTCTAACTTCTGATGAGCCCATGGACCCCTCACACTTTTGCATTTGATGAGGAAGTATTAGATCATTGGCAAAGCTTGGAGTGATCATAGCTAGGAAGCTGTTCACTGGAAATTCTGTTTTCATAGCTACTGATATCTTCTGAATTTTTCACTTAAATCTGTTCAATCAGAAAATAGAAAATTTCAGCCATCCCAGGAGTGCCAGGGTTTGTATTTTTCCCCCCTTTGCCCAATCTGGTTCAGCCCTGAGCAGCAAGCTTTGGGGACCATCACATGATATATTTTGGATAGCCCTAAAGATAGGAGTATGAATAGCATATTCAAGTTTCTCTGGAGAAAGTATGAGAAAATTTCCCTGAAAAGAAGAAAGGAGAGATGGGCAGAACAAGCATAATGGCCAGTTATTTAGAAAACAAGTATTTTTCTGGCCAGACAGGGTGGTGCACACCTATAATCCCAGTGGCATGGGTGGTTGAGATAGGAGGATCACGAGTTCAAGGCCAGACTCAGCAACTTAGCAAGGCACTAAGCAACTAGTGAGACCCTGTCTCTAAATAAAGATAAAAAAGGGCTGGGGATATGGCTTATTAGTTAAGCACCCCTGGGTTCAATTCCCTGTATCTTCCCCCCTCCAAAAAAAAAAAAAAAAAAAAACAAATTCCTTCTAAGAGTTGCCAGCCTATTACTTTTTTGGTTCATACTGTCAGGTTTTTTTTCTTTCTTAATAAAGCACTACAATTTCTTTTCTAGGAAAAGTCATCTCGAACAGTATCAAACACTAAAAGGAGTCTTTGTTTTAAATCAGTAMAGGGAGTTAAAATTTGTCATGCTTAAAGATGTTTAAAATGGCATCGTTATTGTTAATGCATAAGAGAGAGAAGCTCAGACCAGGATAGTCCAGATAAATATTGATGTTATGAATTGTACATCTATCTGCAGCTGCTTTTGTTCATTTATTTAGCAAACATTTAGTCCTAGCCTGTGTAGTTAGGTCTATGAGGAAGTCAGTGAGAGAGACCAGACATATCATGCAAAAAGAGGAGCTGATAATAGTCCCAACTTTACCACTAAGGTACACCCCAGTCCTTTTTATTTTTTGAGAAGATTCTGGCTCAATTGCTGAGGTTTCCTCTAAATTGCCGAGGCTGGCTTCAAATCTGTGATCTTCCTGCCATGGCCTCTGAGTCACTGGGATTATGACGCCTGCCACCTTGCCTGGAGAGTCCCAACCTTCATCAAAAAGACATTAGAAAAAAATTTAGGGATTAATAWAGAGGTGATGCAGACTTTTAGGGGAAAGTGAATTTTAAGATGAACTTTGAAGGAGACAATGAACAAAGATGGTGGAGGAGGGGAGGTGCATGCTTGACTAAAAAAAGAAGCAAAATCAAAGGCGTGGAGGTAGAATGGGTAACGTATTAATGAGACAGAAAGAGGCAACAATTCATGCATAGCAGAATTATTCATCTAGCACCTAGAGACATTTCTCTAATCTGCAGTGGTTAAATATCTCTTTTACATGTGTCAGTACAGAGTTTCAGATCTCAGTTCCATGAAGATGTAGGGAATTTGCTTCTAGCGTCTTAAGTTACGTAAGTCCGAGTTAAGGATTCTGTCAAATGTTGTATTGTTATGCTTTAGAGATGGTAAATTAATTCTGAAAGTATAAGGGAAGTGCAGCTGGAAAAATGTCAGTTKATGCTGTGAATAAAATAGCTCACATATGTTCAAGAAGCAGCACCCACTATTAGAGTTTGTGGACAATAGACCTTCTCCAATCTGTAAGAACCTTGGAGAAGAAGAGAGGAGAGTAAAACCACATCTTTCTAGAAAAGTTTGTAAACATATATCATTAAGCCTCAGAGTTTAGGTAATTCCTACATCACACAGATGAAGGATATGGAACATTTGATGAGAAATCACCATGTTATGACAAATTGACAGCTTCTTCTATATAAAATGATCTAGGCAATGTGAAAGGTTTTGCTTCATCCATCTCAGCCAACAGCCTGATCTTATTGCTGGTATGGAAGCAWTGTCTTTATGCATACTTTTACTTAATGTTTTAACATCCAAAATGTTTAGATTATGCTCCTCTTGGATATAAAAGGAGAATTTGTTCCTTCCCTTGTTGTGATAATATTGTTGGCCCAGTCAGTAATTTTTTTAAAGATGGTTTAAACAGATGCCTGAGAAGTAAAAATAATTCCACTAAATATTGGTGATGCCTCTCAGAAACTGGAGGGTGGGGATAGGATCTTTATAGTAAGTCACATACTCTAGGATCCTAAACACTAGAATAGATACTCAAAACCAGATTGGTTAAAAAGCAGCTTGAGATCCTATAGAAACCAACCCAAATATGTCATTCTCCTTCAAATTTGTMGAGCTTTATGAACTCAAATCCTGAGAATGGAATTTCAGGAATGTTATTTTTAATTTTATTTTTAAAAACAACAAATTGTTTTTAGTTTTCTAAAAATAATTACAGGGCTGTGTGTGTGTGTGTGTGTGTAGGGGTGTGTGGTTCAATGGTAGAATGCTTGCTTAGCATCTGAAAGACCTGCAAAGATATAAATGCCAAATTACAAAGGTGAATTTTAGGTGATCAAATGTATTATGATTAATGTCTAAATATCTTTCCCATACTATTTTCTTCAAATGATTGCTTTCAATTCATTTCTTAATYACTCAGTAGTTAATATATAACACATGGATGGATGATACAAAAAYCTAAGTCTGGATCCTAGTAGTTTTAAGCTATTTGAAAGAGAAGATATATTACACACAAAATAAATAACAAATGTGAAAGGACAGGACTAATATTCAAATAAAGTTTTATAGGACACCACAGTTGGCTTCCTTAGTATAGTGTGTATTTGATGGGCTCATCTCAGTGGGAACCAATTTATTTCAAAAATCTATAATATGATTCCAATGTATGGTGTTGAAAGTCATCTTAATTATTTTTGTAAGGTTGGGAAAATGTTTTTAAAATATTAAAAGTTTTAAAGTGAAAATGTTCTCTGTTTTGTGACCCTTATGAATAATGACAAATTGCATATAATTTATAAATATCAAAAATCTCACTGGTACAGTGGCACAGGCTTGTCATACTAGTGACTCTGGAGGCTAAGGCAGGAGAATTGCAAGTTCAAAAYGAGCCTTAGCAACTTAGGGAGACCCTGTCTCAAAGAAATAAAAAGGATGGGGCTATAGCTTAGTAGTAGAGTCTGGGTTTCAATCTGCAGTACTGGGCCTGGGGGTGGGGGGAGAAAGAAAGGAAAGGAGACCTCCATACAGGTATAAATGAGCTATATTAACTGATATAGTTCCTTTGAATATTAAATGCTAAAAGGATGGCTAACTGTTTTCTGKAAATGATAATGAAAAAGAGTACATGTCAACTCTGTGAATGCAGCTTAAACAACTAAAAATGATATATTTTTTAACTGTAATACTAAGAAACGAAGGTTATTCACAGACTTAGTATTCTGTGAAAGAGCAGCAGAGAGGAAAAATCAAAGGATTCAAAGGAATTTATTGAGTAATGCAAAAATTCTCTTATGCAGAGACATTTTACACAGCAGGAACTTAAGTCCATGTGTGAGGCAGGCTGCTAGCATAGTAAAAAACAAAACAACACCGCCCCTCCCCTGCTCTCCTTCTCCCTCACCCCCCTCACTCCATTGACATGCATAGCTGGCCTGGTAGGTGTAAAAATAGACTGGCAGTGCCTGAACTGGAAATGGTCACTGAAGGCAGCCTGCAGTTGCTGGGGTTTTGAGTTCTCTGACTCGATCAAGCCAGCCAGCAGATGGGGAGGACTGGTGAGGGGCGTGTAGGGGAACTGAGCAGAGGAGCCAAGGATCATCTGGATGAATTGTCCATGTTAGTGTACCCCTGGGAGCCCTGGACAGAGTGCAGAGGGCAAGGACGGGCCCACTGACAGCTGAAGCCCCAGTGCTGAGATGGGGAATGCAGCTCTCTGCTCGTCCTGCCATGCGGATAAGAGTGTCAGAGCCCAAGGCAACATGCAGGACTTGGACAGAACTCCAGACTACTATGGCTATAACAGTGAGGACGTCAAAGAACCTGGGGTACGGGTAAGTTTTAGGCCACAGATGAGGGAGCAGGGAGGGAGGATGGTAGCATGGGAATCAACAGTGGAGCCCATTGGTCAAATCTCTCAACTTCCTGGAAGGAAGTTTTGGAATAAAAACCAATGTGATCAACCACCTGACTGCCTCTGATTCAGCGGCACACTGTTGTTCCCTCTTAATACTACCCAGAGCCACGTGTTGGTTTCTTCTTAGCTGTCACTCACTATGAACTGGCATTTGGGGATGAGCAATGACAGTGTCTCTTTAATTTGGAGCTTTGTCCAAAGCTGAACCTGTATATTATTATATTATAGAGTGACGCTCAGCAATATCGCAGAAACTCACTCATATTCAGGCTGCCAAATTCTTTTGCTTATTTATGTATTCATGTACAGTTTGTTTTCCACTAGATCACACAGTAATTTTAAGCATGTGCTTAGAATCCCAGTTTCAGCCTACAAGGACATTTTACTTCTAGTATTTGACTAATTTCAATGAGAAGACCTTTAAATACCATTCCAATTATGATAGTGACAGTTTGTGAAAAGGCTTGAACGTTCAGTAATCAAATATTTAAAATCATATTTCAAATTTTTAATAATTCACTAGTATGACACATTCCTAAAAATGAAAACAAAGGTTTATTGTGATTTTTTGAAAAAAGTTTTGCCTAGGAATTTCTTTCTGACATAGGTTGATTTTTAGATTTGCTGGATAATAAAGTTTATCTTTGATCTGTCTGATCTAGCCTCTTGACCTTATTGCAAGTTGATGTATTTCAGACAGAAATCATAACACTATGATATGTAGAATTTCTGAGTATCAAAAGGTGAGGGCTTTGCCCTTGTCTTAGAATTGTCTGATGTTTCCAGGGCTGACTAGAGGGTCTATAAGGCTTGTGAGGTAGTTTTCTTTCCTAGATGAATTGCATCATTGAACTTGTTAGACCATGGTGACAATGAAACCCAAACTTAGAATTTGTGAATAAAAGCACATGCAGAGTAATGTGTGCAGACAGCAGAAGTGAACATTAAGTAATGGAGTGAAGAACTTCCATTCTGGAAGTCACCTCTGGTAAACACAGATCTGAAAGGTGAGCAGGGAGGCAGTCCCTCCGGGCAAGGGAAGCCACTTACCTGCTTTAACAACCTTACAGGCAGGTTTGTGGCCAGGAGCAGTGAGTTTCTCTTTCCAGATCATAGTTTAAATGACTACCTCATAGGACATCCACTGTCGATCTCTCACATCAGTCACTTCTAATGGAGCTGAACTGAGGGGGTAAAAAAGGGGAAGGTCTCCACAAGCTTGCCTGTTGCAGTATATAAACATGTTCTCTATGAAATAATCACCTTGTTTGAAAGGTAATTTCTATGTTCATGAAATTTAAAAAATAGAGTTTAGACCATCCTTTACAATGTTAGTTAATAATTCCTTCAGTGCTTTTAAGTTGTTGAATATACTCCATTTCTTCCACCTTTTAAAAATCATTAAGAGAAAAGTGAGAGACAGAGTCATGACATGATCTAGGCAAGGAAGAACAAAGAGACCCTTGAACCTGGAGCATCCGGATGGAGGAAGAAGCAGTGAAAATGAAGATAGATATTTGGGGCCAAATAAACTTTGGCCTTATTAGTCATATTAAGAGATTACTTTTAGTGATAGGAGACCGCTGGTTTTGAGCACAGAAGTGTCAGTGTGACTTATGTTTGTTGCTACTATGTAGATACTAAAATGTGGGAGATCAAGGATGAAAACAGAGACAATTAAGAGATATCCACAATAATCTAGGGAAGAGAATGTAGTCAAACAGACCAAAATTGTGGTGGTGGAGGTGAGGAGAATGCAGGATAAATAAGCTAGAGTATGCAGAGTTTATGGACAGATTGTATGTGTGGTTTAAGAGAAAGAGAAGAGTCAAGTTGACTTCAATATTTTTGTTTGGACAACTAGAAAAAAAATAATTCTTCATTACCAAATGAAGAAGATTCAAAGAGTAGCAGTTCTGAGGGTGAGAACCAAGAGTTAGCTACATTGGAGATGACTGTTAGTCTCTCAAATCATATGGGTCATAATTTCCTAGAATCTATGCTGGGATACAAAAAGTTGTGAACATAGAYGAACTCAATCTCATGCCTTTTTGATTTTTCTCTGACTTTCTTTATGTCCTCCATCCTCTTATCAAGATTGATGATATTTAGTTACCTGATTATATTAGGTTCTTTTGGGGAGCCATAAAGCAAATATATCCCTTATTTTGTAAGAAATTCCCTCCCTGGAAAATGAAACAAAGTAAAAAGTCTTTCTTAAGATACAAAAACTTGGTAGTACAATTGGAGTGACATTATGTTAATTAGAGGAGATTCAGGAACAGCTATGAAGTAAGAAGAGAGGAATTTCTATTGGAAGAGAGAAAAATTGCTACAGAAGATGGGTAACAGTTCACATGGAACACTCTCTCAAAATTAACTCACCCTGAAAGATACACAGTTTGACATGCTCTGCAGATATGTGATGCTATCCTACTTCTAGAAAGAAAGCAGAACATTTCATTAGTGAATTTAAGGAGCAGAAGAAAGAATGATAACCAAATTTGATAGTTTTCCAGAGGGACAAAAAGTAGCTCTGTCAGGCYCGGAATAACTGCTTAGACTTATAAGAAAATCTGGGTTAGGATTGGTTTTTGTGTTTTAGACATATCCCAGACATCTGAGTTAGGGGCCAGAAAGGAAGTTTGGAGGCAAAGAAGGAAAAGGAGGAAGGGAAGGGGTGGGCTCATTTTCTGGTTTGTGATATTCTGTCTACAATTTCTCCACTTTGGGCTATGGGATACGGGGTTGGGGGGGAAGAAAATGATGTTTAACTCAATATTAGGGGTGACCTAGGCAAAATGGTTTTATGCAGATTACGTTTCCCAAACTTAAGAAATCTACCATCTTTTGTTTCTTTTACATGTTGTTCTGTAAGACTGAAATTACTCCTTGAATTGTTTATACATTGCTTAATTTACACATTTTCCAGCATTCATGCTTGTCATAATTGATGATAAATAATTGCTAAGAGGTTCGTAACTTTTAATTGTTATATTCTTTTAAAAACATCTTTATTATTTTTTTATTTTGGTCCTGAGGATTGAACCCATGGGCACTCTTCCACTGAGCCATGTTCCCCACCCCTTTTTATTTTTTCATTTTGAGATAGGGTCTCCCTAAGTTGCTTAGAGCCTTTCTGAGTAGCTGATGCTGGCCTCAAACTTGTAATCCTCCTACTTCGGCTTCCTGAGTTGTTGGGGTTATAGAACTATGGCACTGGGCCTGGCCTAGAATATTCTTTTGTTGAGGGAAAAAGTAGACAGAGGTTTTGGCATGTCTTTTTCCTTCTGGAAATAAACTCAGGACTTATTTATGGAGTTTATTATATTCTTGGGTCAAAAGTCTCAAATACATTTTCCAGTTTTATCCATAATCACAAAAACTAACAAAATGTAAACTGAAAATACTAAAACTACTGAACTTTATATAAATTAGTATTTAACTCTTTTTCATACATTTTACTTAAAGTTGTGTATACCTGACCTTATTTGTAAAGATTACTGTAGCAGTAAGTAAAAAATCAGTCAGAAATTGTATTGGATATAAGTGAACAAAAATAACTTCTCCTTGAACAGTATTATTGTACATCCACATTTGAAAATTCACATGTAAACTTTAAGAAAGATAAAGTAAATCAGCAGAATAATTCCAGATAATTATATAACTAAAAACAGAAATTACAGAAAAACACTTAAAGAAATGAAACTGGATATCATTTTGACAACATGATACATTTTAAATTTAAAACAAATTAAAAATATAGAGAAAAAAGATGAGCAGCAAATATAAAAAAAATTTAAAATTCCATAATGAATAATAGTATATTATTTTAATAATGTATATACACATTAATGTTTAAATCAAGAGCAGAATTCATCAAACTGTGAAGGGTCAGAGAGTGAATGTTCTAATTTGTGGAGCACATGGTCTTAGTTGCAGCTACTCATCTCTGCTATTGAAGAGTAAAAACAGCCAGAAATTATAGATAAACAAATGAGCCTATAAGGGCCTACATATGAAAAAAATGGGCTATATACCCATAATGACTTAATTTTTTATTACTACTGCCAATTGTTTTAATTACTAAATTTGAAAATAGTGATTTTAGTTATTTTTATTAGTTTGTCAAAATATAAATTACCATGATAAATTACATTGAATATTAATTTAAGACAGATACAAAATATAACGATGTTCAATCTTAAGAAGACTGTTGAGACTGATAAACATTCTGAGGCATTCTATAAATGGTTCTAATTATTTGGAAAGCAATTTGAAAACATATTTCAAAGTTTGGTTGTAATTTCTATTCTTCATTTTACCAATCCAACAAGGACTCTAGTAGCAGGATTTGCATGGAGAAAAAAAATCATTAGCAATCTTTCTGTGCAGAGCTCCTCATCCCCAATTCCAAACAACTGGGTGAGCTGGAACTCAGATTCACCATTGTGAGTGTCCCATACCCATCCCTCCTTCACCCAAACCCTCAAGGGCCCTACTGAATTCCTATCCCCAGAGATCTTACTCCACATCCACCGAGAAAATGTCTATCTTTCTAATGAAAATGTAACTCTCATAGCATATGAGATGTGGTTGCCTCTTTCATTAACCCTTAAAGCACTCAAAGGTCTGCTTTTATTGCAATTGGCTTGGCAGCTCCAAAAAGAGGAGATGTTCAGGTGAGGATCAAGAACAAAATTTAGCTGTTTTTAAATTTTTATTCAAAATATGTTCTGGGAGTGCTTCTATTTTTTTTTTAAATCACAGAGGGGAAAACTATATCATCTTTCCATTTTCATTTATGCGGCTACTGTTGTATATATTTTAATTTCACTTATGAAAAAAGTAGTGCCTTGGATCCTATGGTAGTTCTGCCTGGGACATGAGTCAGTGAGGTCTTTCAGTGTGCATATG